CTCTTGTGTACCGACCGAAATTAGCAGTTTAGAAAAATTAACCACACGCCATCTACTGGTAAAAATTAGAATGTTGACGGGGCCGGACGTCATAAAGCAATTGCAGTAAAAGGCTTATGAGGGTTCGCAGATAGAACCCTTTGCCAATGATACTTTTTTTTATTTCCCCTCATAATCACCCGTCGACAGCGTTGGCTATCTGGGTTCATTGGTTTTGTTTTTTGTTCATTTTTTACAGTTTATGTAATCATGGTAGTCATCACATGGGTCAGTGAAAGAAGAAACTTGATGTCTCATTGAGCCTTTTATGTTTATTTTTTAATCAGTTTTTCTTTGCATGTGTTTCTGTCTCTATTTTTTCTCTGTTGGAAGTCCAATCCTCTTGCTGATTTTTCTTTCTAACCTCTACATAAATTAACTGTATTTTTCTGCTAGTATACCTCTGTCATCTTATATTTCATTGCTAAAAATGGAAGAACTATAAAATTGAAAATTAATTTTTTTCAAGGCTGCACAGGGCTATTTTGACAGACCAGAAATTAGGCAACATGTGAGTTGATTGAGTTGAGTTTAATCAGCGACTCCTTTATATCAAATAATTCATTACATCTCTCTCTCTCTCTCTCTCTCTCTCTCACTTTGTTCCAATTCTAAGCTCTATACCAAGCATTTTTGGCCGATACAGATTTCAAAACAGTTGTCAAGGCCTATGAAACTGAGGGGAGACTAAATAAGATCTCAAGGAGTTTGTTGAGTCGTACGATACTCAGGAAGGAAAAGGACAGACAAGTGAGCAGGGAGTGACAGTTTTAAGATCTTTCCGCATAACGAAAAATCAATTCGAGGAGTGGGCCAGACAAATTTGTGAAGTTTTTATGGAAGAGAACCCACGAGTTTACTATAAACCTTATGCCCAGGCGAATGGACGAAGAATTCCACCAGGAGGGTGTTTATATGAACACTGACTATTTGAACAGAAAACTGAGGAAAAAAGGGTTGTTAGCACTTTCGGGACCTCCCAGAGATGTTTCTGCTCCTCAAGTTCTACCTCAGAATGCAGGAGATGCTGCGGAGTGGCTAGAGAGTCATCCTGGTCCACCCGAAGAAGTAAAAGCAAATTGGACAACATCGTATCCTGTCCGTCAACAACGTCTTGTCCAAGGCTGTACTGTCAATCAATATTCCACGGACTTTCCTGCTTGAAAAGTGGCATTAGGGGCTGAACTGGTGAGTTTTAATGGACATAAGAGGCAAGGTAATGATGATATTCATTCCAAGGGATAATTTTTTTAATACTTTTTCCAGCTATAAAGTGACTTTGATATTCGGTACCCTAATCGAGTGAATCTATTGTTTGATCATTGGGATATAATCAGGCCTCACATTTTGATTTTGTTACAAAAATGCGACAATTTTAGTGCGGAAGATCAACGACTTTTGACGGATGTACCACGGCTATTGTTACGTAAGTAACCTCTAATCACAACAATAAAAAAAACCTCTAATCACTGTTCCAAATCAGTTTGCACCTGATAAAACGAGTGAATCCCTTAAATGCCATAATTATTGCCCCCTTATTAATCCCTTATTGCCATTCGTTAAACCACTGGTCAACACAGGAAGAACTATGGAAACGGTAAAGAGTTCTAAGTTGTATGGGGAATTTTACACAAGATTAAGTGACAAAACTCATGATTTACTCGCACTGAAGAGAATCGTAAATGATTGGGAATGGGCAAGAAATAAATGGAGATTAGACTCTAGACCAATTTAATCTACATTTTATCGTATATTCTTTAAGAAACTATATGAACGCCGCATAGTTTGAACAAAGTGTATGTATATTTCGTGATTCCATACAAAAATGGCAATAATACCGGAATGAATAAAAGGAATGAATGTCTACTGTCGTATACGTCTTCCAGAGGAAGGTCATTGTCACTAAAGAAAGAAGATTCAACTAAGACAATGTAGTGGAGAATACTCAAATTTATTGTAGGTAAAATTAGGGAAAATATATAGAAAATTATTGTTTAGACACGCCCAAGTACGTTCACCAGATAAATTGTGGTTGCCGTTTTTTTTTTTTTTGATTCACAATCACCGTATGCTGTAGTGATACATGAACGAATATCCACTTGGCTTTCTTGATCGTGATTTCTTAAATTTTTGTGAACGAACAATCATACGGACTTGGCACAGTCTTTTTCCACCAAAACTCTTTTTGGTGTTTTTTGTGAGATTAATATTCAACGGAACTCTTGTATGTGACTTTCTGTGGTCAGTTTCTCACTACTGGAACTACTTTTCCTATATTTCATTTCAAACTACATTTTTAAAGTAAATAAAAACGTCATGTCGAAAAGAAGAAATTCAAATTTTCAAATTTTACTGTGCTCTCTCTCTCTTTCCAATGGTGTTACCCCCACTTTGTACTGAGTCAATTGGACTGAGGGCCGCTTTGTTCATGTACCTTTTGCTCTAAAGGTTCGTTTAACAAACGGCCCGTTTGCCCAATCATCCATTTCGCCAGAAGGCTCCATGTGTTATTTCAATGGTCCGTTTGCTAAAGCTCCATTTGCAAACCGGGCCTTTAGAGGAAAAGGAACATGAACAAACGGGCCCTGAGTCAAGCAGAGGGGATGGGCCTTTATGAACCGGGTCGTCAAGGTCTATCGCCCGATACAATGTGCTCTATTCACTCCATTGAAACACACTAATTGAGGCGGGGAGCACGATTTGCTCCGAAAGTAGACTTTGCTTGTCCCTGATTTAGGCCGTTTGATCCCTGCGGCTTGGCTCACCCGTTGGAACCCACCAGATTACCCTTTATGAGTTTTCTGATGGTCTCCTACAAAGAGGATAGACTAAAGTAGAAGTTCAGTTCTCAGGATTCAGGATACCCCAAGCCAGAATACGTATCACCCCTTCGGAGAGATGGTGCCACGCCGATCGTCGGTAAAAATGAGTAGGGGCGGCGGGACCTCGACAGACCCACTCTGACTGCTCATTTTTTTTCCTTTCAGGTAAAATTGATTACAATTTATGTAGAACACCATCAGAACAGTTATAAACGGTAATCTGGTGGGTTCCAACGGATGAGTCGAGCCACAAGTACCGAAAGGCCTAATAGGCCTAATATATGCCGGTTTTGAAAATTTGACTTGCCAACAAAAGTTTGGGGCCTGCTATGCCTTCCAACTGACACGCGGTAGACGTGGGTTCGTAACCCTCTTTCGGAATCCTTCATTAGTTATTATTTATTACAACTCAATATCATTTCTATTCCCCGAGATGGATTGAGTATGACAATTTCGTCATCAGATTTTTCATTACATGTAATCTCCGGGATCAAAAATAAGGATTGAGCAATCGTCAGGACCGAACCAGATAAAATGAGAGAAATAATTCCAATGATCATCTGGTTATAAAAGCCGAATCGAAGAAACAGATAAAACGACGTTTAATGTCAAAGGATCATGACAGCCATGTAGAAAAAATGGTTTGAGTTTCCATAAGGATCAAAAGCTACTAAGTATCGAGCCATCTCAAGATGAAACCAAAAAAACATGCAGAGCATCTGAAGTTTCAAACGGTCTCAAGAGTTAATAATTCTCAGGGTCAGTCATTCCTGAGAGTTAAAGGGGGATCACAGCACTTTTGTCAAGTACCGGAAATATTTAATGGGAAATTTTGGCGCTTTTTTTTTCAATTCCATTTCTATGTCAAAAAACAATGTAGGCAAGGAACATGAGAGAATTTTCATTTCTTAATAACATTCATTTTTTCTTCAACAGAAAGAGTCAAGTAATTCCAAATTCTATACGATTAATTTTGCTGAGAACCATATCGAATACGGAAAAAAAAATTTATTGAAAAATATTGAAAATTGTAGGATTAGTAGAGTTTTTATAAGCGGAAAAAATAAAATAAATGACGATTTTCGATGGGAAAAGAGAAACAGTATATTGTCCATCAAGGGCGGAAAGTCAAAACTTTCGACCCGAGGTGTCCATGCGATTTTTTATAGAGTTGAAAATTACATTGTTGAACAAGGATTATAACATAGGGATTATAACATTGTCAAAGTGATTCTAGGGTCAATTTCTGATCTAGGAGAGACGCAAATAGCCGATTAAACAATGCGATATTAACTCTGGGGCTAACTCTGGACACAGACTTGAACCCAGAGTTCTCATTTCATTGTTGAACAAGTTGTCAATGTTGTTTAATAAATAGAAGGCTGGAACGGGAGGATTATAACATTGTACAAGTAATTCTAGGCTGAATTTCTATTGTAGGGGAGACGCTAATAACCTTTTAAACAATGTGTTAACAACTCTGGGTGCAACTCTGGACACAGAGTTGTGCAATGAAACAGACTTCTGCAATGAAAATATAAATCCAACGTTTTTTGATGCTTTTCTCATCGAAAGTCGTTTTTTTTAGATTTTTGTTTCGATTCGACATTTATGATCATCTAATCATTGAAATGATTTCGCTCATTTCATCAGGTTCAATTCTTACTACTCAACCCTTATTCTTAATCCCAGAAATTTCATATAATGAAAAATTTGATGACAAAATTGCCATGCTCAATCCATCTTGGGAAATACAAATGATATTGAGTTGTAGTAAATAATAACTAATTAAGGATTTCGAAAGAAGAAAAAAAATTAATTAGGTTTTGAAACCATGTCCACCGCGTGCCAGTTGGAAGACATAGCTACGCTCTAAAGTTTAGTTGGAGTACCTGTAGTTAGGGTATCCTTTAGGCCCTAAAGGGTACCTTAACTAAAAGAGTGATTTTTTTGTGATTTTTGCTCATAACCTTTAAAACACTTGGAAATGTGCGCATATCGAACCTCAACGAAATACTATATTTCAATCAAAACAAATTTGTAATTATTTAAAACAATATGATTTATCAACAGGGTCAAATTCAGAATAGGGGAATGCACGCTCGATCTATATATTATGGAATGGTGTGGTATACTTACTCGATCTTGTATCTTAATGTTTTCTTGACCCCGTTTAAGATTTGGGGCCCTTAGTACTTTACTAGTCAATGGTGGTTCCATATCTTCCCGTTCAATTTAAATCGATAGTTTAGTTGACTGTCTATACGATTTCCTCTTTAGCCCATCCGAGTGTCATCATGTGTTCATGCTGGTACTGTCGCTAGAACCTGCTGAAAAATCATTTTATATCAATATATCATTCCAATAATAGGGAACGTGATATTTTCTAAAATCATTTCTTCTTCAAGTTTATGACCCCTAAATGACATATTTGACATTGAAAGTGAAAAAAAAAAGGTAATTGATTATTTATCATTGATCCTCGATCGATCGGGTTATGGCAGGAGCGCTGTTCTATGTCGATTTTTATTTTTTACGCTGAAACGTTGTTGAGAAAAAATATGAAAAAATTGGAATTCCTACTTTCCACCGTGTCAAACACTTAAACAATTTTTGTTCTGTGCATCTTTGCACCGCTCAAAAATCAAAATTGCTTAAAAATTCGACCCGATCAAAATCTCTGTGTTTAGTCTCTAAATGTAAAATTTTCGCACCGAATGGAAATCAATGATTGAATAATGTTTCAACTTTTCTCGTTTTATACTGAAATTAGTTGTTAGTTGGAAGTTCAAAGTTACTCGTTTAATCATGAATACATAATTTTTTTGAACTTGTTTTTCTCAAAATGGTAAAATACACAGAACGGCGCAGCGCTCATCACGCGACCCGATATGTTTGGTGGAGAGCGGCGACCACTCGAGGGTTAAAAATTGAATCTGATTATACCAGATATGATGACTAAATGTTCACTGAATAGGAAGCACTGGTGCGCCACCTCTCATGCAATACAGAGACTATTGATGGCTCGAGTAGAGTGTCTGACAAAAAATGTTGACACCAAGTATAAAACCCATAAAAACAAGCAGGGGACAGCGCGCATATGACAGCACGCCATGTGACAATGAGCATGTCATAGAGTGATGTCTTATTTTTTTTCGCTATCAATACATTGATGGCAGGCTTCCGAATGATCTGAAAGATTACAAAAGTTGATAGCTTCATAATACTAAGTAGTAGCAAAAATTTCCGATGATTACTGCCACCTCCACGAGTGCTATCAAAGTTCCAATTTTTCGAATACTTCGTATGAGCGGGTATACATATTTTCTGTTCAAATTTTAGGTTGATATCACGACTTTTGCACAAGCTAGAGTGTTTACAATGTTTTTATGAAAAAACAGAACCACGAGAATATCTCGAAAACTCTGTATGAATGGGTATATGGGTATATGTTTTGATTGATTTAGATAGAAGGCGTCAAAATGAATATTTTGAAAAAAAATCGAAATCGGCTCACTAGCTTTGAAGATATCTGTGGAAAACGTTTTAAAAACAAATCGCTTTTTCTCAAAAACTATTAGCTCGATCGGGCTGAAATTTTAGGACCTCATTAGGACCTATAATCTGACAAAATTTCAGATCTTTCGGAATTATTTGAGCCACTTAATTACTCAATTTTCTAAAAATTGACCACCGGGAAGATGGAGGTGGCCGTGGTCACATACAGGCCCCCATACATGGTCCCCGAACTTCGTATTTTAACGTTTCAGACCATTCTACATCATTTCCAATCAAAGTTAGAGAATGTGAAAATCGAAGGATTGCAATGCTTCTATTTGGAAGCAAAAACAGTAAAAAAATGTTGTGTGCCGATATGCAATAGTTTTTCGATAAATACACCTCCCAAGCATTTCATAATCGTTCCTTCCGATGAAATCCGTCGCAAAAGGTGATGTGTGTCGCTGCTAATTTTTCGACTGATATTTTGAGGTTACGTTTCCATTCCGAATCCAAGGTGACGACGAGCTAATCGACGCAAACAAATTCGTTGGAACCACCAGAGTGTTCGTTCTGTCGTCTGAAGAGATTCCCTCAGTGTTGAAAAATATCGAGGTGAGGCTTGTCGGAGAAAACTTCCCGGAGCACCATTCAAATTCAAATGGAAATGAAAATAACATTTGGAACAGCTCCAATGGAGCGACGGTTAGTAGTTCAAATACAATGAGCACGCATCACTCGTTAAAAATGGAGCTACTGAAAAGTTAATTATTCCCATCTATTACTTCATTATTGATTAAAGATAATCCACTCTTTCTTCTTGGAGTACCAGATGATCCTTTCTACGTGATTCGCCACTGGAAGAAACTACAGGTATTATCAAGAGGGATATATTTCTGGTATTGAAAAAAAGTCGAGTCAGTAGTTCCAATACCGTACTGGCTTATGAATTTGGTCTATCCGAGACTCAAATCTCTCGAATTTTTGCTTCAAATCTTCCGATTATTGTGGTATTACTTGACCAATTAATCTCTTGGCCTATAAAACAATTGATTCGACAGAATTTACATCTACAATTTCGTCTACGTTATGATGCTATAGAGTGAATCATTGACTGCTTCGAAATTCACATTGAGCATCCAAGTAATGCATTTCATCAAGTTCAGCTGGTTGGATTACAAGAAAGGCAACACAGCAAAACATCTCATTTTTATACCACCATGCATTAATAAATTTTATTTCTCGGAACTATGCTGGTAGATCAAGTGACACGGGGATCGTAAGAGACTCGGGTTGTCTGAAACAGGGATGAGCAAAGTCCAGATAGCTCGGAGCTACTGCAAGAACACCGATTAAGAACGGCTATAAAGTCTACAACCCTTCCAATTACAGGGGTCCCCGTACGGTCATAGTGGGGGTAACGACGTAAGTGCAGTGGGAATAACTGCATGAAAAGTGCCTCACGCGACGAGGGCGAAAAGGGAAATTTCCTCCAAGCACTCAACATGTTGTTCTTTTTGAAATTAATTGCATTTGTTGTTCAAGAGTACAACTACCGTGGGGGCACCAGTGATCGCTTGGTACCCTTCTTTCGGAAATCGACCTCTCTTGTGACAGAATTTTGCATTTTTCAAACCTTCGGTGGCCATTTTGAAAAATCTGTCGATACAGCCCGATAGTTCCGGTAAAAAACACGATATTTATTAATTTCCCACGAATTATTAGAAATTGAAAAAAATTCAAGGTGATAGTCTGGTGACTGATACGGTTTTTTTATGAGTGCTGCCGATGATTGCAGCTGGCCTCTGACGTTAGCCGCACAGCCATTGGTTGTTCTTTCTTCCAATGATAGTCTCGTTTTTGCTTGCTCAGACTATAGCAACTAAATTGTGGAGGTTGAAGTGGCGGTAAATTTAATCTTGGTGTTGCTCAGCTTCCGGGGGAATATGGATTATATTGATTTTATCTCTTACTTGAAAAGCAAAATTCGTTATTTCCTTGAAAATTTCATCATTCAGTGAGAAGCTCAAGTTTCTGATTTCCCAGACACGAGACAATTTCTTTTCGTGGAGGAATTTCTTAAAATTTTCTGATTTTTCTTGTGTTAATTCACAGTTGAAATGTATGTTCAACTCTTGAATGCCTTTTTTACAATCACACACCGAATCCGTTTTTTATTAATTCATTTGAGATTTTCTGTAGTGCAGACGTGATTAGATCTTATTCGGTTTATGAAAGTCACGTCAGCTCTGGATAATGTTGTGTTGATGAACCATGAGACTGATGACCCAATATAACTGTTTCTACCGTATGTTTGACCTTTCATCTTGAAGGAATTTTTCAGTTCGACTTCGTTTCTCTCTCTCGCCGAACGCTTCCATTTTCTGTAGAAGATTCCAGGATCAGATGAGAATTTGAAGACTTGATAATTACCAGTGACAGCCTTATTAGCTGACGAGTCTGCAAGTTCGTTGCCGGTTATGCCTATATGTCCAGGACACTACCAGAAATTGCAGGTTTTCCCACCTAATTGATATCTATTGAGAAGGGATTTTATTTCTAGCATGAATGAATGGCATTTACCGTTCAATCCAATATCTTCCATAGCTGAGAGGGAACTCATAGAATCTGTACAAATAGTTACTGTTTCTATTTGGTTTTTGTCATTAATAAGCTTTAGTGCCATAATAATAGCGATTGCTTCCATTTTGAAAATACTTGCTCTAGCATCCAGTTCAAATTTTCCCGATATTTTCAGTGCTGGACATTCCACAGCTAATCCTCCGTAACATTGACCTTTTCGTTTCGATCCGTTGGTGTATATTTCTATGGTACCTGAGTGTTTTAATTGTAATTTTTTGGAAAAATCCTATCCAGGTAGTTCTTTCGTTTTAATGAGTTTTCCTATTTCCATTTCTATAGAGATTGGATTTAGCTGAAGTTTTAAGGGGATTTCAAAACATGGTTGTAGCTCCTTCCTTTCTAAATCGGATAAATCCTCTTTAATTTCCATCCAAGTTTTGAAGAGTTGGGATTCATGACTTGGCAATATTTTCTTTTGTTCTTTTAGTCTCTCCATGAGCTTTAATTTTGGAATCGAGGGGTGGTTCTTTTGAGAGTAACATCTAGTCAAAAATCTTGCAGTTAATTCGTCTGATCTAATTTTGGAGAAGGTATTACTCGATAGATCTAACAGTATATTCGTAGGAGTAGTACGATAGCATCTCAAGATAACTCTAAGTGCATCATATTACAATTTTTCTAGTATTCCCCTTGCAGTTTTACCATCAGAACCTGTGCTAATAGAAAGAATCTTAAGGTCTCCTTCCCATGAAGTTCGAGTTAGGCTTTTTAGCATGGTTATACATTTGTTTGTGTTTTGTTTAATACTGTTTAAATTATCTTTCCATGTGAGTTTTCAATCGAGAATTACTCCTAAAAAATTTGCAGAGTCAGATTTTTTAATTGTTTCATTCCTGATTCTTACTGACAAATTATTTTCTATTTTTTTCTTTCTGCTGATTAACACGAATTGTTTTTTTTCGCGGAGATGCTAAGACCTAGACCGCCGAGCCAAGGATCCAAAATCTCAATGCTCTGTTCTAATTTATTTATGATACTTTTTTTGTCCTCACTTGTGACGTAGATTCCGACATCGTCAACGAATTAGACCAATCAACAGTTTTGGCCGATATTGTGCATTTTTTTTTTCTATATTCCGGCCCTTTCTGCCCTCTAATTGGCTAATCGGCCCTATCCAACCCTATGCATGCGGCTGTGGATTCTACACTGCACCGCATTCGCACTCCTATAGAACATAGGAGTAGCATGG